TTCTAGTACCAGCGTCAGGCCCAGGTTGACAGGCCGGCTGATGAACACCCCAGTCACACCAACCATGTCTAAAGTTGTCAAAGAATCAGTGATAAAGCTAGGACGTCACCCGGAAGTGGCGCGCAGAACCCCCGCCCGAGTTCTGTGGTCAGTATGCGAGGGCTACCGAGGAGTGAACGGCCTCGGCCAAAGAAGCTAGTTCGAATTGGGACTCTGAACGTAGGATCGCTAACTGGGAAGTCCCGAGAGGTTGCTGATCTGATGACGCGCAGGAATATCCAAGTCCTATGCCTTCAGGAGACGCGATGGAAAGGTGCTAAGGCCAGGGAAATCGGGAAGGTGTCAAACTCTACTACAATGGGGAAGACACCAAGCGGAACGGTGTGGCCATAGCGGTAGCGGAGTCGCTCAAGGACTATGTCTCCGCTGTGAACAGGATCAGCGATCGGATCATGGCTGTGAGGATAGACACGAAGGAGGGGTACTGGTCAATACTCTCGTGTACGCACCGCAGACCGGATGCCCCGAAGTGAGAAGGACGAGTTCTACCTGAGCCTTGACGAAGCCATCAGATCGATTCCGGAAGGCGATTACCTGACCATAGCAGGTGATCTGAATGGTCACGTCGGCAGTGACAGAAGAGGCCTGGAAAGGGTGCACGGAGGTAGAGGGATAGGAGTGAGGAACGCCGAGGGAGAGAGGGTCCTGGACCTGGCTACTGCCCACGATCTGGAAATGGAATGCGTAGCTCATCCCAGAAAATGTGCATTAATTCCGAATGAACGGTTTTTCTTTCTGAAGGTCGGAGAATGTTGCATCAGATCGTGCAACGTAGGACAAACACATAGTATTGAAAATATTAGGGGTTGGTGCAGTCAATCATGCATTGTATTGTGATATTAAAGGTAGCGAATAAAGAGGGAGCGCATCGGGGAAGCATATGCACCACACGAATCAGTTACTTGGCTGCCAGGGAAGCGAGGTGTGGCGCTTTCACGACGAAAGGTGCGCTGGTTGCTGAGCAGGACTTCGAAAGCACTCCGCCCCAAAAGCGATCCGCCCACTAGTTTAGTTGGTGATTTGGACGAGCTGCGTTGCCAGCGGCACAACTAAGCAACTCGATTGGAGCATGGATTGGCATGCTGTCACCAATGCGATGAACTCGTTCATACGTCCGCTTTCTGAGCTGTTACCTGTTCATGAGTGAAAACCGACGGTCAGTTTTGCGTTTTCTCGACGGATTTCTCCGCTTTTTTCGCCACTGGTGTACCATTGAACACCATCAGTCTCCTATAAACCCTACTTAAACCGTAACCACTGCTTCTAAGAATTTTGCCTCGTTACTTCTCCATCCTGTGCGAAGTACAGTTTTATTTCAGGAATACCATGTTGTCAATTTTCGGGTACTGCTCCATATCTCTTTCCATGCAAAGCCGTATCGACAAACTTGTTGACCTGCTGAGCATTGGCAAAGTGTTGCTGAGCTGCCAGAAGCCTACGGAAAACATTGTGAGTTACCAGTATACGTCCATCATTGGTGCATACGTTTTTTATTCAAGCTGACCGTGTTTGAGGCGAAGACCTCGTCACCATGGGATATTGTGTCAGCTTGACGGCTTGCTTTACAGTATATGAGTGTACCACTCTATTAATATCTCCCTGACCGTGCTTTTCCCCTGGTGTTTTTTAAGGGATTGTTGTGTCCCGCTGCCGAAGTCGCTGACCTGGTCCAGTGTTGGCGGACGAATATCAGTCAAAAACTTGTTAATAAAGTTAATAAAGTGAATAGTAACGAGAACACTGGTGTGGCTGGAGGCGAAAGGCAAGAATATATGTAGATGGAAATTAATCAGCCTGTCGGCTTAGCATTTAAATAGGCGCTTTCCCGCAAGATCACGTAGCGATAAGATTGCCATGGTTTGTGATTATATGATCATCGATATACGCAACACTAACCAGGGAGGTCTTTCAGGAAATGGTGAGCTTTCTCAAAACGGTTTTTTGCATGATATAGGAGTACATGCATGGAACACAAACTGTAGTTCATTTTTCCTGAGCGGCCCTCTGAATACCAAAAAAGGGTCCCTAGTTCGATTCCTCGTAGTGACAAATTTTTGCATTTCGAGTTAACGTCTGAAAATTCGCGCAAAATCGGTCCTAATCATGAATATGGTACTAATTATTCATGCTAACTCCATTTTGCGCGAATTTTGGAACGTCAACTCGAAATGCAAAAATTTGTCACCACGAGGAATCGAACTAGGGACCCCCTTTTCTGGTATTCAGAGGGCCGTTCAGGAAAAATTGAACATGGTTCTGTGGTTCCCGCATCTGCCCCTATATCATGCAAAAGACCGTTTTGAAAAAGCTCACCATTTCCTGAAAGACCTCCTCGTATAGGCCGCGTTCATAGTTCGCGACTCGGGAGATTAGGATAGTAGGCGACAGGATATTAGGATAGTAGTAGAGTAGGAGATTGCGCTGACAAGATTGGATACGTATCGATTGAAATCGCTGGAGAGTAGTAGATTGGGCGACTTCAAGCGAATAGATCAATACATATCTAATCTTGTCAGCGCACTATCCTAATCTACTACTATCCTAAATCTACTACTATCGCTAATCTCCCTACTATCGTACTATCGCTAATCGTAATATCGCAACTCCTACTACTTCCCCCACGGTTTCACATCGAAACTATCTAATCTTGTTTGCGCATCTCTACTTACTACTCGTATAATCTATAATACCTAATCTCCCCGTCAATAACTATGATTTCATTGCCGCGTATTCCTAATCTCATCGCGAACTAGAAGTGGCTAACGTCAGTTCGCATCATGGACACCGTAATACGTCTGAAACTCCGCACCAGAAATCTGTCATTTTGCAATACTCAACTTCTTTCTCCTCAAGTGGTTTTTCTTCAAGGATACCGAACAAAAACGAGAGTATTTCTCCCGTATTTAGGAAGCTGTGTTGAAGCTCTTCTTGGCTTTGATTTGCTCGATACCATCAGATATACCTTTGCACTGGCTTTCTGAGGTCGGTGTATCATCTGTCTTTTTTCACATCATTAACCACATCATTTACCATCGCTGAATTTTAAGGACATAACAGCTTTAATACTCGCTCGATGGCGATACTACTGGAAAAAAGCGACGAAGGTCCCACAATTTGCGAGCAATTCGATGTTGTGAGTTATGAGAATTGCATCTTTCTTAGTGATTATCAACCATGTTATTCCTTGATGCAATAAGGTCGTGACTCATTTATGGTATGAGGTGATAACCTTCTGAATAGTTCCTCAGGTACAGGGATTGATGTCAATGCTAGACGTTTGTTCAGATTGTTGCCTTCCTTTTTCCATGCTTTCTGTTGGGCGATCTAACTCTACCCGCACAAAATGCAGTGAAAGGTTGTCCATTGTACTTGACCCGCTTCTTTGTGTATAATACGATTTTATTCAAGTACGAATATGGCTTTCAGGCATGCTGCTTTACATCTTGGCACTGCGACCAGATATCGTTCGACGGTACATGGAGGATAAATATGAAAACTGGGAGAAATTGATATTATAAACAGTACGGGTTGGCAAATAATGTGTTCTTAACGAGTGCTCCTGAGGGGTTTCGATATTGTCTGGTGGCTTTGAACGCGGCTTATCTCAAGTAAAGCTTTGCGAACATGTACTTTTATTGCTGTCCTCTCCAAGCCATCCATGCCAAAGTAAATTTATTTAAAACACAAACAAAGTTATAAGAGTGAAGTTCAAACTGTAAAAAAACGCTCTTCATAACGTTTAGCTTCCGACTTCATGTTTCTGGTCGTTCTTTGAAAATGTTACGAATGACGTTAGCCAGGGAATGGAATGTGAGACGGTCATGTGGATGTGCCTAAAAATTGCTCTAATTTTGACCGTTTTGATCCAAAATAAAGTAGTTCAAGGTACTTTAAACCCTTTCAGACCCTTAGGAAGGCGATCCCGCCGAAACGTTAGCCCAACAAAGCTTGTTTAGCAATTCATGAGGAGTTTCAAAGAAGAAATCACCGGCGACATTAGCCGAGATTCATTCAAACTGTCTAAGAGTATGTTCCAGTCAGGCAACTACGGTACCTTTTTTAGAGACAATGCTTCTGAATGTTTTAGCATCTTACAGGTGGAATTTGGGTGGTTCTTTTGGTTCGGTTCGTTTTGATAGGTTTTCGAGCGATTCCAGCGGAGGTAATTAGAGAAGCATGCAATGAACAAAACACGAACATTTGCTGTCTCTTTAAACACATCGAGTTGTACAAGTGAGTTCTTACAAGGCTGGGGCGGAGGTGAAAGATTATGGTTTGATGATTCTTGAAATTTCACAACGGACGGTTGAGCGATAGTCAACACCATTAACCCGTGCTTATTCGAAATTGGGTGAGAAAAAAGCTCCTGAAACAGCTGAAAAATCGTATTTCTAGCCTGACTAAACGCAGCTTCTTACACCGTGAAGTGGTAAGTCGTCAACAGTTCTCGACGGCGCTCGTTTTTACTTTTTGGTGGAACGGGCGCGTTTTTCCTCCATTTTACCTCACATTCATCGACTTCGTCTAGTAAGTGAACAAAAAAAATGAATAGCACAGTGTAATTTTAGGAACCTACAGGCACATGGTGAGGGGCAAAAAAGAGTCACCTCACCCCACATTCAAAACACAATCATACTTGTCTAAATTCAAACGGGATGGCCCTAATTGAATGTTGTAGAGTACATTACAGTCTACTAGCATACGTTGTA